AAGAGGCCTTTGAAAACCCAAAGGTCTCTCTTTATAATAGTGTGCATCTTTATTAATCTAACCAAGATAAGCAATGATTACTTTTTATTATTTTTAAAATAAAAGAAAATAGGAACAATGCTAAAAATTGAGAAAAATAGATAAATAGCTTCTCTCAAAAAGTAATTTTAATGGTTATATTTTTTATTTTTTAGTAATTTATCATGTTTATTGGAAATCATGTTAATTTAAATATAATTACTTTTAATTACAGTTTAAAATTCAATTATATTACATATTTTTTCAAATATAATTTAAATAATATTCAAAATAAAATTTAAATTATAACTTACATTAATTAACACTTTAAAAACTATTAATTAATGAATTAGTAAAAAATGTTAATATTTTTTAATAAATAAAATATTTTAATAAGCATTGTTAATTAATAAATACTATAATTAATAATACTACAATTATTGAAAATACTGTAAAATATGTTTAATTATTAATACTATAATTATTAAAAATAATGCTAATTAATTAAAATACTATAATTATTAATGTTTTTGTAATTTTTAAAATTACTATATTAATTAAAAATACTTTTAATTAATAAATTAATTATTTTAATAAGTACTTTTAATTAATTAATAATACTATAATTATTAAAAAATATTGTATTAATTAAAAGTACAGTTAGTACTGTTAATTAATAATATTGTATTTAATTACTATTAATTAATAAATATTGTAATTGTTAATATTGTTTTTTGATAAATTATAACTTACATTATATTAATTCAAGGTTCAAAGTATCGGAAATGTAAGGTATATTGGAAAGATGATTTTAAGAGACGTTTTGGAATACGCTTTGGATACACATGGACACATACGAAAAATCAAGATACACATGGATACATTAGGAAACTTATATAAATCTTAAAAAATACATTAATAACAATAATTTTAAATTTTCTATGACCTTAAATAAGTTATTTAAACACTTATAAAGAAAATAAGTTATTTAAACATACAAACCATACCTTAATAGTTTATATAAAATGTGAGATATAGGGAGAAATTGGTAATCATTGAAGATAATGGGAGGAGTAAAATGTGTATTAATTTTCAAAAAATCAGTATAACTTATATTAATGTTTATTATATAAATTTAATAATCAATTTTAACATTAATTAATGAACATCCATTAAAAAAAATATTTGCTTAAGAATAATAATACATACAATTATAATTAACAATTGAATATGGTGTAGTGGTTTGTTTATGTTTTTTACAATTAAATTACCAGGGTTCAATTCTCCTTACCTTTCTTATTTGTAGTTTTAAATATGTTGGTTTAATGACAAGTCAACTTCAAATTTATTGCTTTAATGGCGGGTCAAATTAAAATTTGAATTTGAATATTGTCAATAAATATAGTAATTAATTATTAATTAAGAGAAAAAAGGAGTTATTAAGAGAGTGGTAATAATTATAGGGGATTATGAGTTATTTAGGGCAAGTTTTAAATGTAGGAGTTATTACATTGACAAAGAATTATTAAATAGGCCATGACCCCATACGGGTCCGTATCGATATAGATGAAAAGGAATGAAACTATTGGATTTGTAGCGTTCCATGTATTGGAATGCTGCTGGAATGATATGTATCAGCCGATACGTTGCAATTTTTTAAACCTTGTATTAATTAATAAATATATTATTTAATACTATTTTTTAATAAATACTAATAATTATTTAAAAATATTATAATTATTAAAAATATTGTAATTATTATTAATACTGTAAATATTGTAATATTGTAAATTTTAAAATACAGTAATTATTATTACTACTCCCTCCCTCCTCCTCTCTCTCTCTCTCTCTTTTAAATGTCTTTTTAAAATGTAATAATAACATGCATTAAAATAGCAGGCCATAAAAAAACCCAAATGCCTCTCTCTAATAGTGTGCAACTTTGTTAATATAGTCAAAATGGGCCATGGTTACTTTTTTATATTTTTAAAACAAAAGAAAATAAAAAAATGTAAAAAATGGAGACAATAGATAAATAGGTTCCTTGAAATGATAGACATGATGACATGGACCATCCAATTTTATATATATAATACATTTTACAACTTTTAATAAACTTAAATATGGTGTTTTGATGGCAAGTTCCTTAACTTTTAAAGCAAATGATTAGGGTTCAAATTATAATTAAGTTTATTATATGTGAAAATGATTAAGGTTCAAATTATAATTAAATTTTAAAGCAAATGTTTTGGTTAATTATATGTGTAATAAAGTAATATGTGCAATAAAGAGTCATTAATTAACACAAGTTAAAAGGTGGACTAATGATAATTAAGCAGTATATGAAAATATGAGTTCATATATTGAAAATAATTAACCGAGGTCCTAAGTCATAATTCAACCGATCTGATTGGTCTGATCGGCCGATTTGGTCTGATTTTCTAAACACTGGATTCTGTTTAGGAGAAAGGCCATGGGTGTGCGATGGAAGTTTGATGGCTCTAGCTCTTAGTTCTTGGGAAGAAAATGAACAATGCTTTGAAGGGCAAAATAGGCATTTCAAAAATAAATACACGATCTGCTTTTTTGTTAAGAAAGGGAGATAGTTGCATATCTATACTACTATAAAAAGTACGAATAGCCTTTGAAATTTTTCTTGACCAAAATACCCCATTTTTTAAATATGGTTCCTCTATTGTGAGGGTAGAAAATGTAATTTGAATACTATTATTCAATGCATTTAATTTCCTCTGATTAATCCCACATTTAAGGTATTAACTCCCATTCACCCTCATTGAATCATATATTTAAAGCATCTTTATTTATTCTCATCACTAAATTATACTAATTAAATCCATACATAATAAATTAATAATTCCAATAATATAAAAATTTATACTTTTAAAATCTAAATGAAAAAATAGTGTTTTTATAAGGTGGTGGTAAAAAATTAAACCATTTTGGGTCAAATGGACTAACTCATGTTGCTACAAATAAACAATAAAAATTCAAAAATAGATAAATACAAAAAATATAGAAATTAAAGAAAAATTTGAAAACATTTTTAACATCATATATTTGACATATTAAACAATAATAAGGGTGTGGAACTCTTTTTTCACTAAACTACCCCTATTTTTGAATTTAGTCCCTCTTTAATTTTGAGGGCTAATAATGTAATATCATTTACATTTGTTCACATCACTTAATTCCCTCTCATTAAGTCTTATATTTAAGGTATTAACACACATTCTCTCACATTAAATCTTGTATTTAAGGTAATTTTTATTTAATAAATTATAATAATTAGATCGTTATCAAATACTTTTTAACAATATAAAACCCATGTTTTTTAAGGAGTAAATTCTAAAACCTCCCCTAAAGTTTGGTGATTTCAATCACCTCCTTTGACTAAAATGTTTATTTTCCAAAATTTCCCTTCATATTAATCACTACCCCAAACCCTTCCAATCTCTTTTCCAAAATTGATTTATTTTATAAAATTTCCCTTCATATGAATCCCTTAAAGTAGCAATTTAGACTTCTATTTTTTGTTGTTGTTGTTTATAAAGTTTGTATTGTTTGTTATGCAAAAACCAACTTCAATATTAACTGCATGAGTATTTTGGACCTTTGTGTGCCACTTGTAAGAGGATTCTAAGAGAGGGGGGGCTACTTGAAACTATTAGAAAGTTCAAGGGAGGTGATTACAATTACCAAACTTGAGGAGAGATTTCAACAATGGTGAAAAACTTCAAGGGAGGTTTCATGCAATTTATCCTTTTTTAAAATTAAAAAAAACAAAATTATTCTTCCATCAAAGTGGTGGGTAAGCCAATTCAACTATCCCGGTTAATTGGGTGAATCTAATCATAATTAATAATAAAATATTTAAAATAGTAACAAATTCACAAAATATAAAAATGTAGAAAAAATGGGCCATTTCTATGATATTTTATATTAATCATATTAAAGAAAAATAAGTGTCATAAAGAATAATTCCTTTACATGACCCATAAAATCAATGCATACTTTTTTTTTTTAATTCTTTTTGGTTAAACATCAATGCATAATTTTTAGTAGGGTTACATAATGGGGGTAGTCCATACCTAATGAGTACGACTCCGGGGATGTTGAATATGCTGTGAGGTGGGTGTATGGTGCGCTCTCTAATTTGAATTAAAATTCACATCTTCTCTGTACATATTAGAGAATGTTGGTAGACTGGATCTGCTCCTCACATAGGGCACCTCTTCACATGCATATCCTATCATTCATTGGGAATATCTTCCGTAGTTATAAGTTATTATTTATAGGAGCACATAACACCCACCACATAACACTTACGAATAACTACCAACCAAGCCAACCATCGGTTGGTCATCATGCATAAATTGGATGGGTGAAATCTCGTGGATTGACAGTTAGGTCCACGTGGCCAGCTACCAGCCAAAACTTGGGCAAGGGTACCCTAACCGTGGCCCCTGGGCAGAATAGAATAGCTAACAGCCTAATAGGGGTACGTTCAAGGTTGGCGCCCATCGTTCTATTGTCTTGGAAAAGAAATTATTTTCTTTTTTCTTTATCTTATTTGATTCTGGAGCTTCTCTTTATTTTAATGCAAGGTTTTCAAACGTTGGATTGGAATCTATGTATCTGAAAATCAAGGATCTGATTATTTTTATTTTATTTTCCTTACAACTATTGCTTTCATTGAAGAAATAATGTCGTAACAGATATTGATTAAATAAGTATCGAATTGGTCTATTAATATCTAACCCCAAAAAAATGGTCTATTAATTGATCGGGACCACAAGGTTCTTGCCTTGTGCTGTGGTACTGGTTTCACAAAATCATCATTCATCCGTCTTTCCGAAGAACAAATATCAGACAGAAATGTCGAACGGTCAGGATTTTCCAGTTTCATCGATTCAGTGGGACCGAAGTGTACAAAATACATAAGATATTCAACCCGCTACGCAATATGTAATGTATGCTCTTGAGTCCGGTAAGGGAAATTGTTTCCGGTTTAGTGGTTAACCTCTTCTCTCCCTTCCGTCTCCGTCTGTTCTTCCTTGTTGAAAGAGATTCTCTTGATCAAATGTTTCGACGTTTGATTGTCTGATGCAACAATTTCAATGACGAGCATGGGTTTCTGCCGCCTCATTCGCGTCTCATGGGATCAAGCATTAGAGAGATGCTCCCCGGTGTTCCCTTGTCTCTCCGATCCGGGTACGTCTTCTCCTCTAGTTTCTCCAGTTTGGGTGTAACTTAATGTCATTCAATCAGCTCAATTTACGTTTTCTTTAATTTACGTTTATTTATTTTTTTTGGATTTTGGGTTTCAGCTCGGAGAACTTTCCTGGGCCTGAAAGTGGCTTTGGTGATGCTGCATCTGATCTATGTGGGTGTTCTCTTTCTTTTTGATACAAATTTGATACAGAAAACAAAAGAAGAACCATGGTATGTTCCACCTCTGTTTCTGTATTCTTCGTTGTCATCGTTTGAGTTGAATTTGATTTTTAATTTTGTAATATTTTTGTTTTTGCTTAAAATCGCTAGAATGCATTCATGTTTGGGCCTTTTGTTTCTGGAAATTATTTTGAAAAAACTGTAAGCTGCTGAAGCAATTTAAAAAGAGTAGTTCATCAATAATAAGCCAAACTGGTGGTTCTGTGGTAGCTAGATAGACTGAAAATTCTAATATGTCAGTTGAAACCCAAAATATGGTAAATTGAATACCTGTAGTTCTCAGCCAAAAATTTGCATTTACAATAAACTTAATATCGAGCTTTCTGTTGGGAATAGAGAAGACAAAATATTGAAATAATAGTTTTACAAAGTAATGTCAAACTAACCAGTGTTGCTTGGACACAGACATGGGACTTGGAATCCGATGCGTGTCCATGAGTTTGACTTGGCAAGATTAGAAAACAGGGACTGGCAGACACGCTTATGGAAAAAGTATATACTATTAAATAGTTCACAGTGTTTGGAGTCTAACACTATATACCCGCATAAAATGTTGCCTTTGTTACTAAGTTACGAATAAGATAAGGATATAACAAGGAAATGTTGCATAGAATTGTCCTCAGGAATCTGTGGAGTGTCAGACTCCGATTTGTGTCCTACATGGACATGTCCATTTAGGAGAGTCCATGCCATACTGAAACTAATTGAATTTGATTATTGTGTTATAAAACTGATCATACAACATACAGTGTCGTGCATCAAGTAGACCCAGAACTGTGACTGGGGAGAGGGAGGAGTTGTACTCATACATGATGTATCCTACTTTTAGTGAGTGGGTGAATTCTACCATCCACTGGATAGTGGTCCTTCTGGACTGTCCATGTCTTCACTCTTGACTTCCCACTTCATGACTCCAGGTCAGACATACATCCCACATTGTATTGAAGTTCTGCCTGAGTTATATTAGCCTTCCAGAGTTTTTTTGTTTATTTAAATTGAAACGTACCTGGACAAAAGGGATTACTCTGGATACATGGTGTTGGTGTGAAAATTTTAAGAAATTCTCATGCAACATAATTCACTCAATCGAGTGATTGAGTTTTTATTATTTTGTAAGGCCCATTCAGGGAATCATATGGGTTGTTCCCCTTAATTACATCTCCACAAGAAAGTAGAGAACACCTTTTGATTCTGACTTAGAGAAATGAATGCATAGAACAAAAGAAAAGAACAATAGAGTACCTCTTAAACAGAACTTTTCATTTGCATTTCTTTTACATACTTCAAGTGTACAAGAATGAGAAATAAAAAATAAAGAGAAAATCCACAACAATACATTTCTCTCTTTCTTTTCTTTTTGATATAAAGAAGATTTCCTTCTCACTCCTTTTTTCACAATAAGTTGTTGTCTATCAGATGAAATTCTGACTGTAGACAGCCTTAATCCTTTGGATTTTGCATACAAGAAGGGAACCGTAGTCCATCAAATTGAATATTTGATTATAGGCGGTTTTTTATTCCCTCTATTCTTCATTTTCATTTGAAGGGAACCATAATCAGCCCTTGAGAATTAGACTGTAGATGGTTTAATCCTTAACTTGTCTTGATAGAGGGACTATAATCAACCAAGTAAAGGCACCTGGTCGTAGATGGCTCATTTCCCTCTATTTCCTTTCTTAAAAGTAAAAACAAGAGAGAGAGAGAGAGAGAGAGAGAGAGAGAGCAGAAAGACATATATAGGTACAAAGAGGACTTTCCTTTACCTACCTGTATTAGTGAGATTTCTTTTTCTTCCCTGTCTTCCCTTGAGAACCTCTCTTTTCTTCTTTCTTTATCTTGGATTTTCTTAACAATCTCTAAGAGTGGTATGCTCTGAGACACAATTTTCTCTGAAGAGGAGACTCTATCTTTCCCTTAAGCTATGTTTGGTTTGAAGGAAAAAGTAGGGAAAGGAAAGGAAAGTTAGGGAAACCTTCACAAATCTTGTATAGGTTTCCCTACCTTTCTTTTCCCTACTTTTTCCTTCAAACCAAACATAGCCTTAAGGAGCTTAAATAGGGAATGGGGTAGTTATGCAACTACCCCTCCCTCTAGGTGAAGGACACCTGTCCTTCCCTCTTAAAGAGAGGAATTCCCATACGGGACACCTTTTTTAGTTTTGATGATTTAGCTAGCACACTAGCCAACCCACTTATTTGGGTTATAAATTATTTAAATATTATTTGGATTTTAAAAAAACCTTTTTTTTGATAGATAAAAATTCAATTGATTTCATTAGAAGCAAATGGATTTAAAAAAAAACCTTCAACACACGGCAAGGGGTTTTGAGCTGAAACTTTCTATATAAAATTGGTCCATGTACTTTGCAAACTTAGGAACACATATGAGGAAGGATATTGTCAAACAGGGTACTGTGGCACAGGAGTAGCATCAATGCGATACTGTGATAAAGAGGCACTTTAGCTAACTTCATTTAATTGTAATGTAGCTAGCTTTTTCAGGGCCATACCGTGGTAAATGTGGGACTTGTTGATATAAAAAGGGTTTGGATGGTTCAATGGGAGAAAGTGCATGAATATTTAGTCTTATAAGTTTGATTACAACTCAGTCCTACAGGATTAGAGATCAGAGATCACTAATGTAGTCAAACTTATCTTTGGTGTCTGTTTGTTGGGCAGCCCTGGGGCCCCTGGTTTTGGGGTGGCCCTCAGGGAATCGAGATTACAGTTGTCTTTGTTAATCTTGTAGGGACTTGTGTCATGATAGTGGTAGAGCTTTTGGTCCTATTTTAAATATTAAGGTTCCCTTCATTCCACTTACTGAGGTTATAGGAATTGTTGCATGGTGGTTGATTAGATGAGCTTTGGGAGGGGAGCTGTCAGGAACTTAGGATTATTATATGTTGAGAGAGATGGGGGACTTAGGCCTTGTTTGACAATGTTCTGCGAGAGTGTTTCTGCTATTTCTGGCATTCCCGTGGAATAGAAACACGTTTGGAAAAAATAAAATGAAAGAAACGAGTCATTCCCACGTGAGAACAACACACAAAGAACGCGTTCTTTGGAAGTGACAAATCTACGCTCTCAAAGAACATGTTCTCTGGGAACCCGTGGTTCCCACAACATCCCTTATTAGTTACGAATACGTGTGCCACATTCCCATGTGAGAGTAGGAGCATTTTTGTCATTCTGCTCGAAATAATAAACTCTAAGCCCTAATGTTCATTCGTCGTTCCTTCGACCTTGTCTCTACCGCTGCACAACCCAGGGAGGTGAACGCTGAGTCAAGGACAGTGAATGGACGGAAACACATCTCCGACGATTTTTTTCCAACCAAAATCATTTACACAGGTATGGTTGTCTTCCTTCTTGACGTTTCTTTGTTGTAGACATGTGGATGCTCTGATTTTTTGTCCTCTAATCTGTAGTTCTCCCAACCCTTGTTTAGAGAGATAGAGATAACGATAGCTAGCTTAAAACACTAATAGATAATGGCAGATCTGCATTTCTCCCAACCTGTTTTGGTTGGAGCTAGGTCTTAAATCCTAAAACGTAATTATTCTCCCAAAATCAGAGAATCTAACACGTTACAAGCAAGGTGAGATAATGGATATGTAGCCTCCACACACTCTTCTCTCAAACAGAATCCAACAATGGCTTCCACCCCAGTTATTTCCAACCCTTGTGCAAGTTCAACCCCCAAACCCTGCAAATCTCTTCTAATCTGTGCACCAAACTATCCTCCACCAACTTCCTCTCTAAACCAACATGTACAAGTAGCAAAAGCAAACACATTAATAACGGGACAAGACAGGAGCAATTTCTATTACAAAGTGATTAGGGAAGTTCAAGTGGTGCCGCGTTTTATTGGTGAATGGGACCAAGGTAGACCTCAGAAGTGTACCCAGGAATAGGGAAGTTGTCAATTATTGCCTTTCCATGGCTGATTAATCCGTGGTTTCGGAGGTAAAGGAAGCTCGGCTGAAAAGTTTCTGATGGCCTTGTTTGTTTAATTTATTTTGCGAATTCAACCGTAAGTCATTTAAATGAGGTATGTAATAGTTTTTCTTTTTGGAAAATTTAACAGAAATTCTGTAGATGGTAATTACAAGGAAATTTGTTTGAATATTGATTTATACCACTTCTGTTGCTTGGTAGTTGGGAGAGTCAGTCTTGCATGCATTGGTTTTATGTGAATTTGTTAAAAATCTACCATTAATTATCTATTGATAGTTGAGAATGGAAATGGTAGAATATAAAAGAAAAACACACAGAGCAAAACAGACCCACAAGAAACAAAGCATAACAAGAAACACTTGACAAAGACTAAAGGCTAAGGACTAAGCACACTGCAACTAAAGACTAACACAGCATGACCCCTAAACACCTAAACAAGACCAGAAACACCATTGTTGACTTTCCAACTTCCTGAATATACACCAAATATTCTAGTGTTTACAACTTATTTCTATTGTTAATTCTACTATTTTCTTACACAAATATTCTACTGTTTCCAAATTCCAAAAAAGCAACACCATTCATTCATCAAAACTAATAACATTTGTTAGGAGTGGGCGAATTATTTCCATTTTATTTATTTTATATTTGTAGTTATGTTGTTCACTTCTACTGTTTACCTTAAAATGGTGGAGTGATGAAAAATTTACAGTTCAAAACACGGGCAAGAAATAGTTTAGTTATCCAAATGTTATTTCTGTTTCTATAGAACAAAATCCATTCTTAAGGAACAAATTGCCAAACACTCTATTGTTCCTGAAGAGTAAGAAACAAATTCCTGTTCCAGAACAAGAATTTCCTCGAGAACAGGAACAGGTGAGAACATTACCAAACAGGGCCTTAGCTTCCAAGCTGAATATCTCATTCTTCTCCCGAGAATCTGCCATCTCATTATCTAACTTCTTGACTAAAGGTGGAATCTGACATATGTAGTTCTTTCTATTGGCTTTAGTGTGTCAGGTGTTGTGATTCTCCTTGAACTCTTCCTACTCCTACATGACTAAACCTTTTAGTTCTGGTCATTCATGTGAGGGCTAGTCATCAGCTTATTGCCCAGGCAATTGCATGCCAAAATGTGTAGCCATCTGTTAGATGCCTTGACTAAGCTTTCTATACCTGGAACATAAATGGAGTATAGACAGGTTTTTGATGCCAAAATTTGTTCCTTTTTTAAACTTCTACATAGTTCTCATTGCCTAGTTTTGTGCTTTTCAAGCCATTATTTTTGTAATGCACTTTTTCACATTGGCTATGGGGTATCTTAATTACAAAGGCATATAAATTGGTGAAGATTCCATTTTTTTACCTTTGTTATTTTACCAATTTCAATTGGTTGTCTTGAACTTGATCATTTTCCCTGTAATTGTCAGGTACATAGCAATATACTTATTAGTGTTTGTTGCAACCCTGGCTCAGTATTTCTTTACTTCTGGTTCTTCTCCTGGGTAATTTTCATTTTTGATTTAATTACAAACAATTTTGGATCTTGAATTTCTAATTAGAGCATAGGTGACTCTTCCAGTCACTATCTAACACAATTCTTTTTCTGTTGTTACTGATAATAATGTTTCCTTTTCCATTTTTAGGTATGTAATTGATGCAATGCGAGCTGGTAATGAGTCACATGCTACATTTAGGAAGACATCCATGACATCAAAGTAAGAGCTGATTTCCATTTATTTATCTTGTGTCCATAAAAACATAAGGTAAAGATAAATTCTCCTGGAGTTGGTTTACCTTTTGGACAGCTACTTTAATTTGTATATTTTGATAATTAGTATCATATCGTTATTGTTGTTGTTTACAACAATGGTCTAATCTGTTAATTTTCATAACTTATTGCCTGGTTTACTTTTATGATGATCAAGCAAAGACGGTCTGCTTCAAGCCAAAGCGGAAGCTTCACTATCCCCATTGAAGAGAATCAGCCAGGAAAAATTACTCCAGGAAATAATACGACGTCATGGGCAAAGCTAGTGATGGATATGTACCCTCATGGATCATCTGTTAGGTATGCAAATTATTTTTATGCTTTTGCAGCCTGCTGATACTTCATCCTAGCACATGTGTGTGTACATTCACATATACCTCAATAATTATAAGATACTCTAGCATGTATCCTCCTAGATCATCTGTTAGGTATGCAAATTATTTTTATGCTTTTGCATCCTGCTGAGACTTCATACTAACACCTAAGTGTGTGTGTACATGCACATATACCTCTATATGCATGTATGTATTTATTATAAGACTTTCTAGATGTATGGCCTTTCACTCAGGGTACTTTTTCTAGCTGTGTGAGGCACTGATGCTGGAACATAGATACTCTGCATGCATGCTCCCCTCTGTGTATGCAAGAACAAGATTCTGGAGGGGGAATTCTCAGATTGTTTTAGGTCAGATGGGCCAATAGTAAGGTGTTTGTTGGTCTCTTTCACTCTTTGACATGCTAGCAAGGAGTCAATATCCTTGGCATCCAAAATAAACATCTCATTCAGATGGTTTGACTTGAATGGGATTGGGATGCATGAATTATATTGGTTTCCAATATTATTGGGTACTTGGCATTACTATAGTTGAGCATGTTGATGGTTGTTTGAATCTTATGAGGTATGAGGTCTTTTTATTCTTTTCTTTTAAGGTCCTGTTTTCCCTTTTGAAATTGGATGATAAAAATGGGCTTCTAAGGTGTGAACTAAAATGCTCCATGGTTTGAATGATAATTTTTGGGGTTATCAAATAGAAAACAAAGGAGTAGGCAAGGAAATATTTGCCAGCTTATGTTTTCATGGCGTTCATTCTTCTCTTTTAGTTGTCATTCTAATTGATGAGAAAGGCCCAAAAGAAGCACAAACTGGAGAATGATTAGTCCAAAGTTCATTAATTTAGGAAGACTATTCGACTATATTAGGAATTGTGGCTCCCTTATTGTGTGCTGGCCCTATTTATTCCAGCCTCATGTTAAGTCTTCTGATGTCTGCTGTTGATGAGACATGCCTTGTTCAAAATGCACCTCCAACAACTAGCATTCTAAACTGCTATTCTCCTTTTTTTCTCCTCCAAAAAGAAAATGTGAGATATTTCCTGATCAACAAAGTGGCAACATAATTTGAAGTCTCCTGAGTTCTGGTGGGTCCTTATGTGATGGATCTGGGGGCTGTTACGCTATTTGATGATAAGGGCTGTTACCCTACGTTGGTCACAGTGGTCTAAGGTCTTGGAAGGGGTGTACTGGAGACGAAATTAACCTTTGGCATTTTTTTTACACAAAATGGCTGTTCTCAAACTTGAACCTACGTTCTCATGCTTGTCAGCCTGAGATTTTACCATTACATCAAGCAAGGTGGATATAATTAAAATAGAAAGGCAGAAGATTCAACTGAGGCTTTTTTTCTAGGCTTTATGATTTTTTAAAGAAATTGATTAATCATTTCTTTCCATATAATTAATCTTTCCATGTAACATCAGGTGTGCATAATTAAATCAAAATATTAACCTGCTTGAAAATATGGGATATTACAAGCTCTAAGACTAATTATTGGTTTTGCAGAAATTGGACATGCATGTATTGTAATATCGTACAGGTTAGTGCCATATAATACCTTATCATTCTTCTATGTGATGCATCTAAATACATGATATTCTTATCATTTCCACTGGCCTTGGAACATGCCCTGCTCAAAATATGAAGATTTTTGTGTTGAAGGAGTTGATACTGTACCTGTATTATGTGTTCTTGTTGCACATGCTTGTGTGTTCACTACCACCTATGCAGATAAATCAATGTGGGTTTTGAAATGTACAACTATATAAAAATAGGAAACACTTTATGATTGACATTGTCTTGTTGGTCAAGTGCTGTTTGTATTAATCCACCACATCCTATACAATCTGAAATGTTTAGATGTTATTTTATGTTTCTGCAATAAAATATCTGATTAAATGTTGCTGATCGGGAAAAATAAATAAAAGAAAAAAGGAAAGACAATCTTCCCATCTTCACATATTGATGTACTTTTTATGGAATATGACCACACATGTTATTACAAACCTGAAAGAGGAACAAGGAACCCCATATGGCCATATCTCTTTTGGGGTCTTCTTTAACTTAAAATGAGGTTCAAATTAATGTTGTAAGACTCGGACCATTCACAAAACCATAAAGGCTGCCGGATCACTGGTTAGATGGTGTTTTGATCTCACAAAAAAAAAAAAAGAACTTGAGTAGAATTAGGGCTTCCCTATTCAGGGTGTATAAGTATACGCTATGTTTGCTAACCCCTTAATTATATTCATTAGAGGAAATACCTTTGATTTTGATTTTATGTGAAAGAGTTACTTTTTAAGGGTTAAATCCAATAGCAGGTATAAGCAGTTCCATCAGCTTGGATTCTTAGTGGGTTATACCCATGAGCGGGCCCCCCACAATTGGTAGATAGGTCATATGACCCATACAGCATTGGGTACTTATGTACTTCAAACTTATACATCCTAACAGTGAGTCCCGTTAATCAGTAAAAAGTGGGACCTACTATACTGATTTGGTAGTGGGCATGGCCCATTTTAATATTTTAACAGTGGACCCCATAAATAAATGGGACCCACTATACTAATCTGATAGCGAACGTGACCCAATTTGATATTTTACATTTAATTATTTTAACAGTGGGCCCCACTGTGATGACTTGTTAGTGGGTGTGGCCCACCTTAATGTTTCAAACTTGAATATTTTAATAGTGGGCCCCGCTGATGGGTGGGGCCACTATGATGACTTGATAGTGGGTGTGGCCCACTTTGACATTTTATACTTGAATATTTTAACAGTGGCCCTTGCTGACAGGTGGGACCCACTATGTTGGTTTGATAGTGGGCATGGCCCACTTTAATATTTTAATCTTAAAAATTTAATTGTAGGTCCTGTTGATAAGCAGGACCCGCTATATCGGTTTGATAGTGGGTGTAGCCCACTTGAATATTTTAAACTAAAAAAGAATTCCATAGTGGGTCCCACCAATAGTGGACGTTTTTAAACTTAAATATTTTAACAGTGGGCCCCGCTGACAAGTGGGACCCACTATGTTGGTTTTACAGTGGGCATGGCCCACTTGAATATTTTAACAGTGGGCCCTACTGACAAGTGGGACCCATTAGGTTGATTTGATAGTGGGTGTAACCCATTTTAATGTTTTAAACTTAAATATTTTAATAGTGGGCCCCACTGACAAATGGGACCCACTATGCTGATTGTGCACTTGAATATTTAAACAGTAGGCCCCATTTATATATGCTGTTAGATAGTGAGCATGGCCCACTTTAAACTTAAATGTTTTAATTATTAAATTTTATTTTAGTTTATAGTGGGTGAGACCCACTAAACCAGTATTACCGTTATAACAGTGGATTTATTTGAATTTGGTGGATAGGATCCACCGATTGCAACATTGTGATTTGCTGTTGCAAGATAAGATGGCGACCCACCAACTCATGACAGTTCTCAGTTGTCAATGGTGGAGTCAAAAACTATATATATTTTTATGACTGAGGTGGATAGGATCCACCGAATGAGTTTTAACTTACATATTTTGGTTTGTTTACAGGTGGCAAGCCAGCATCTCTGTCCCCTTTTCAGGTGGGTAAGATCCACTGACAGTGGGTCCCATTGGTTTGCCATTTACAAGTGGCAATATAGGCTGCAACATTAATACATTTGTTCCCTTTTTAAGTGGATAAGATCCACTGACAGTGGGACCCAAAGATTTGTCAAGCAACCCCTTTTTGGCATCTCGAAGGTTTCCATTTACAAGTGGCAATATAGACTACAACACAATACATTTGTCCCCTTTTTAAGTGGATAAGATCCACTAGATGGTGGGATCCAAAGATTTGTCAATTGATTTTTTGTATCTATTATAATATTGGATTAATCCATTGAAATATCTTTTGAGGTGGATAGGATCCACGAACATAACAATGGTTCCCAAGTATTAGTCTCTTTTCTTTTTCTGTTTTATCACTTTTTTTTTGTGGTGGATAGAATCCACCAGTATATATATATATATATATTGAAATAAGATTTTGAGTTCTAATAGAACTCTAGAGAGAGAGAGAGAGAGAGAGAGAGAGAGAGAAGATAAGACGTAAGATAAAGATTGAAAGTAGATAAAATTTAAAGGGATAGAGATAAGATCTGTACCTGTGTACACTTATCCTTAATCACTTCAATCAGCAGAACGACAAGTTCCCTCCTCTATTTCCTCTCATCCTCTCTCTTCTCTCCTTTTTTTTTTCTCTCTTTTTCTTCTCCATTTTCTCTATCTGCTGTCCATTTTTTCCTCTCCTCTCTCCCTTATATAGAGGAGACAGTTAATGGGTAGGGAGGTTAGAGCAACCTCCCCACTCTTCATACGTGGGGTGGTTGCTTAACTCCCCCCATAACCAGAATAAATTAAATTTTAATTTATGTGAAGTGGGCCAGCTGTGAAATCTGGCGACTCAAGCTTTATATTTTTTTTACATCTTATATATTATATATTTTTAATCCTAAACAGATGGTCTAAACGCTGGGTCAATCTAATGGCCCATGACATCATATTTATAAAATATAAAAATTATTGTGCATGCTATGACATATATTGCGGTCAGATGGCTTTTGTCTTAGTTTTTAATACAAGTGACCAGGGTTCAAGTCTTTTAACTCATGTTTCATTCAAATTTCAAAGATATATATACATATTTGATCAGTATAGATATTGAAGAGACAAAAATAGATGCAAATACCATGATAGATAAATGGTAATGTATTAATCCATGCAAAGGAGAAGTTACAGGTTCAAATCTCATCATTTTCGTTTTATGATTTGTAATAAATCATTGACCCAGGTGGGTGATTGAATAACAACCCATCTGGTATTCAATGGTTCTTATGAGTTTCTAAGGTCAGCCAGTTCTTCAGAAATTTGAAAAACCAATGTTAAAATAACCAGAATTGCAGCTGGTCTTGGGACAGATAGACTGGATAAGGATCTAACCTTTAGCATTCTTCTTCTTCTTCTTTTTTTTTTTTTTTTTTTTTTTGGCATTAAGTGGCTGCTCTGACATTCAAACCCAAATTCTCATGCTTGTCAGCCCAAGATTTTTTTATTGTACCAAGCACTGGCCCTTGGTTGATAAGTTGGTAGTCATCATCTCAAATCCTTGGGCAGCTGATTACTTGATCTGTACTCAATGCTTTGACGCAACTGTAGTTCACTGTTTTTAAATCAAGTGTTTTCCCCTCTAAGGGTGATTTCTTTTCTCATAGTGCATACAGGTCTGGAAATGCGAGTCTTACAAATTATGCTTTAACTGTTGAATGTCAGTAGCAATTATCATTACTTTCATAATGCCATTTATCTGTAGGGTAGCTTTTGATGTTCTTATTCTTTCACCAAATATTTGCAGCCTCCACGTGTGAAACATTGTCATGATTGCGACAAATGTGTTCTTCAGTTTGATCATCATTGTCTTTGGCTTGGAACATGCATAGGACAGGGTAATCATTGCCGATTTTGGTAAGTTTAAGTCCATTATGCAATACTTTTATAGATGGTTTGATTATTCCTGTAGCTGCAAGTTTTATGGGATGAACAAACAGTAACTGAGAAATATGTTAGCTGGTCAAAAGTTAAACCTAACCCCTTTAGTTATATGTTGTGGAACCAAAAGGATAAACCTCTTAATTGGTCAAGAAGAAGAAAATGATTAATTGCTTATACAGTAATTGTCCATGTTGCTATGGTCTTTTGGAATACTTAATTGGAGACCTCCATCTTTTTCATAACTGTAGTCATCTTTCATCTTGTGACTTAGGACATCCTAATGATGCTGATAGATACAAAATTAAAGGATTTAACTGAATTGATAGATTCTTTCTGAAGCTATAAGTAAATTGCTAATGGTGTAAAATTGTCGTGTCTTCTGTCTAATGAATTCCAAAAAGCAGTGCCAATAAAATATTATAAGACTTGTGTACCTTAATATTTGCAAAGGAAAATAAAATTAGATGTCTCCATTAGGTCTTCTGCGTGTTTGGTGATGGAAATTGTAGAATCCTTTGTCTTGCTTGGCCCTATTGGGAAATGGAAATCTAACCAGGCAGAAGCTGGAGATCTAAAGGATCTATTTTGAAGGGGTTTTAAAGAATGTCATTTGTCTGTTATTGTTCATGCATGTAGTAGAAAAACAACAGAAATAAAAATAGTAAAGAAGGAAGAGAAAGATTTGTGAGAGTGGAAGAAGAGAAAGATGAGAGAAAGAGAAGAGAAGCCAATAATGTTATGGCCACCCTCTCCCATTAGCTTTTATACTTAAGAAAAAAGATGTATACAATGCCCAATATGCCCTTGATAGGTTGGCTACTGTCAACAACTTAAAAACAACAACTAACAACAGCTTAAAGAACTCCTAAACTAATGGTCTTTAGGCCCAACAATGCCAACTAAATAAAATAAACAAATAATTGTAATTCCTAGACACTCCCCCTCAAGTTGGGAATAAATGTTGCTCTTTCCCAACTTGTGTAGGCCATGTTCAAGCTTACTCTTTGTAACTCCCTTGGTAAAGACATCAGCCAACTGTAAGTTAGAAGAAAAATATGGTAGGCAAACTTCTACTGTTACTTTCTTCCTTATGAAGTGTTTATCAACCCTTGATATGCTTCGTCCTATCATGCTGAATTGGATTATGGGTAGTGTTGATTGTGGCTTGATTATCACAATACATCATAATGCTTAGCAACAATTCCAAGCTCACTTAACAAGGACCTGATCCAAAGAAATTCTGAGACACCATGAGCTAGAAATCTGTATTCTGCTTTTGCACTTGATCTAGCCACAACTGATTATTTTTTTTACTCTTCCATGAGACCATGTTGCCTCCTACAAAGGTGCAAACCCCTGATGTAGACCTCTTGTCATCTAAGCACCCTGCCCAATCTACATCCGTATAGGCCTCTAATTTCAAGTGCCCATGATTAGAAAACAATATTCCTCTATTGAGATGTTTCTTTAGGTATGCAAGAATCCAATCAATGGCTGCCCAATGTCAAGTCCGGGGAGCGTGCATGTACTGGCTCACAAGAACATTGACAACATTTTTTTTTATCAACAATAGAATCAATTTATTAATGGACAATAATATTACAACAATCCGGGAAGAGGTAAGGAGGCTTAACTCTCCCGAAAAAGAGAAAAGAAAAGAAAATTACAATACAGCCCAAAACATCTGTTCCCTTCCCATCCCTTGTTTCGCCAACGTATCTGCAAAAGCATTTGCAGTCCTCTTCACCCATTGAAACTGAACCTCCAACCCTCTAGTTAGCCATTTAGCCTCCCTTCTCTCATTTGCATATTTCCACAATCCATTGTCCTTTTGTAACCAGCTTTGAGTCTCCTTCCACAATTAGTCTACGAGTATTCAACTCCTTTGTCTTCCTTAAGCCTTCCATTAAGGCACATATCTCAGCTCTTAGAGAGTCACCATTTCCAATGGGGCCTGAAAACAAAGCAATCACCTTACCGTTCTCATCTCTGAACACCCCACCAACACCCGAGGGCCCAGGATTACCTTCACTACTACCATCAAAATTTAATTTTACACACTCTGGGCCTGGTGGAGACCATAAGGGAGAGGCAACTGATGAGAAAGGAGCTGAATTTGCCACTTTCAGCCAGCTATTCAGAAGCATAACTGAAGAGACATTAGTAAACATATCCAGAGGCTTCAGCCAATGCACCACCCTAACCATAATTACCTCAATGATACCTTCTTTGCTCTTTTTTTTTTTTGATCAGCAAAAAACTTTCATTAATAACAGAGAAATTTAGTTACAATAGATAAAGATTGCAGAGGGACAAACTGCAATCTCCAGCAATTAGTTACAATTCTGCCCAATACAATGAAGATCTATTTGCCCCTTGTTTTGCTAGGGTATCTGCCATCCCATTTGCATCCCGTTTGACCCAACCAAACTGAGAGGTTGAACTTCCTTGCAAGTGTGTCAATTTCTCTGAAGATAAATTTGAGCTTCCAAGGTACTGATGTGATGTTTTTGGCCCAAGAAATGACCAATAGTGAGTCACCTTCTATTTCTAAGTCTGTTGTTCCTATCTTCTCAACCATCTTTAGACCTTGAAGTAGGGCTAGAGATTCAGCCTATATTGAGTCACCAAAACCTATTGGTCCTGAGTAGAGTGCCACCACCACACCCAAATGATTTCTAAACACACCTCCTATGCCCGCCCTTCCTGGGTTGCCAAGAGAACTCCCATCAAAGTTCAGTTTTAGTTTGTTCGGTGCTGGTGGCTTCCATTCCGTACTTACAAGTACTTTGGGTACATCTGTTTGTGCTACTTCAGCCCAATTTCTTAGGATCTCATTCGTGGAGTAGTTTTTAAATATCTCCATGGTCTTCACCCAATGTGCAATTCTGATTTTTATGGTTTCAATAACTTCCTACTTTGTTTTGCTTTTTCCAGAAAAGATTCTTAGGTTTCTTTCCTCCCATATAGTCCATACTGTAGCTGCTCTTATTGCCTTCCATAAGCACTTTCCTCTTTTCTTCTGTTGACATAGGAAAGAGGGGCTGAATAGACCTACCACATCCTGTGGGGGAACCCATCTGCATCCAAAGAGAGAACAAACAACATTCCAAATACCAGAAGTAAAAGAGTAGGGTAAAAGTAAGTGGGTTAGGGTTTCGCCACATCCCAAACAAAGGACACACACATGAGGAGAGAGGAAATTGTTTGGCCTCCTTTTCTGTAGCACATCACAAGTGTTTACCTTCCCTACAAGTGTTTACCTTCTTTGCTCAATTCCTTATCAGAAAAGGTCCTAGAGTTCCTTTCTTCCCATTTAGTCCAGAAAATGGCAGCCCTCACACACCACGTAACACTACCCCTTTTCTTAGGCCATCTAAGGAAAGATGTGGCAAACAAGCTTCGTATATTTGGAGAAGGGGTCCACCTGCAACCAAATAAAGAAATAAACCATTCCCATATATCAAAAACAAAAGGACATGAAATTAGTAAGTGGTAGGAGCTTTCACCATTAGCCTTGCAGAGAGTGCACCAGTTTGAGGATAAGCACCAATTTGGCCTTTTCTTTTGGAGTAAATCACATGTGTTACATCTTTCTAGGAATGCCTCCCAATAGAAAGCTCCAATCCTTGAAGGCATTGGCTCACCCCAAATTTCCTTGATTGGGAAAGACTGAATAGAATTGTCGGTTTGTTGTACCAAGGACTTAAAGAAAGAAGCACAAGAGTAAACCCCAGAAGGGGACAAAGTCCAAATTCTACTATCCCTTTTTGATGGGTCCAAAACTACCCCATCAAAATCTGAATTAAGTCCACAACAGTTCCCAATTCTGACTCCCTAAGGCCTCTTCTAAGCCCCAAATCCCAATCATACCCAAAATTTGACTCAGAAGGAACCAAAAAATCAGACACACACATCCCTTTGAAACGTGAGAGGGAGAATAAAGAGGGAAATTGGTCTTTCAGAGGTACATCCTCCACCCAGAAATGTTCCCAAAATTTAACCCAATTCCCAGAGCAAAGATCATACCTGATGTATTGCAGAAAAGAAGGAAGAATGGCATGTATGGATTTCCAAGGAGAGGCCATATTAGTCCTTGCCACAATCCTAGAGCCCCAACCATCATCTGCTTGTCCATGAATGCTCAAGATTATCTTGGTCCACAGCTTATCCCTATCCCCTCTAAACCTCCACAGCCATTTGCCCAATAAGGCTTCATTTTTCTTCTGGATATTTACCTAATCCCAATCCTCCCTCATATCTACACCTGGTGAAACTCTCAACTCACTCTATGATTGTTCCTTTCCTCCCCTGGCTGCCATAGAAAATCTCTCATCAACTTTTCCAGCACTCTACTTATTTTTCCTGGGATTGTAAACATAGATAAGTAATACATCGGCAAGCTAGCCAATGTAGACTCGATCAGAGTGATCCTGCCACCCATAGATAAATAATTCTTCTTCTAAGAGGCAAGCCTTTTCATGAACCTATCAATTACTGGGTTCCAAAAACTGTTATCTTTGGATTATCCCCTAAAGGCATCCCCAAGTATATCATAGGCCATTGTGACACCTCACAACCCAAAATCTCAGCCCTATCCCTCATCTCTCCTTCTTCCATGTTCACCCCTACCACACAACTCTTACCAAAATTAACCTTCAGATTTGACATTCTTTCAAATAACTGCACTACCCTCTTCAAAATTTTGACCCACCTCACATCCTCCCCTTCACAGAATAGGATTGTGTCATCAACAAACTGTAGATGTGTAATAGGTAACCTGTTTCTTCCAACCCTCCACCCTCTCACTAGGTTCCTCGAATATGCCCTATCTATTAATTTCCCCAACAACTCTGCTATCAAAGTAAAGAGAAATGGGGAAAGGGGGTCCCCTTGTCTAATTCCCCTAGTGGCAGGGAAATGGTCCACTATAGACCCATTCACCAGGATTGAGTAATGACAAGTCTCAATAC